ATTATCCAAATTTTGATTTTGCGATGGGAAGGATCGAAGGATGTAATACAAGCGCAGAACATTCAAATCTTAATTAGCACATAGTCCAGCTTTGAAAAAAAAAAATGAAAATGGAAATATAAGAGTGAAAAGTCGACTGTGAGGCTTGGAGGAGTAGATCTTAGCTGCTGTTTGAATCAAACCTTCCACAGTCCCAGTCTTTTTCAAACTTTATACCTTAAAAAACCCTCATTATAAGCCAGCATTGGCTGAATGTTACATTAAATCATGTTTGAGGTTTCATAACACTAATGTATCACTAACAACATTAATGAGACGTTAGTGATGTCTTTATATTGACTTCAGTTTAAAACTGTCTCGAGCAGCATCTCTATAAGTGGATCTTCACACTGAAAATGTGTTAATAAATAGACTTTTATATTGTCTGTCTAGTACATCACTAATTGTACTTGAATTAAAYTTATTGAACTTATTCGTGTTTTATATTTTAAGAAATCGTAAAAACAGCAAAGTTACTCAAACCAATCTCAACTTTATGCTCGTGTGTGGAATTACAGCAGTGTTTGTGACTTGGAAAAAATCATGTGTTGACCAGAGTTTATTGATATTTTTGTCTTTGTTTTTAATTCATTTTTGTCTCAGATGGCTSCTTACTTTCTGTGGTGTACTGCAGCTCCTTATCAGTTTACACCATGTGGTTAAAACAGTTCTTCTGACCATCAGTATGTTGGRAAATATAGCCATTTTCATTTTTCGTTTTCAGAAAAATCAAGTCTATCAACAGTTTTGAATACAAAATTGCCTCAGCTCAACAAGACAACAGTTTTCTGAAGGCTTTTCACACCAAGAAAGCTGTTGCTCTGCAKCTTCAACTGTCGCACTGAGTTAAAAGCCAATGAGTGTGTTTTAGGGTAAAATACCAGTACATGTTTCCACAGACCCCCGCTTCAAAAGATCTGAACTTTTACTTAAACTCTTAAAAAAACATTCCATATTTTTAATGCTTTAAATAAAATAAAAAATCAAAAACAATTCATTTTGTGCACAAAAACCAAGAAAATTTGGAAATGAAACAAAACTGTTTTTGTCTTTAAGCCATACTGTATATATACATT